AGCGTATGGTGACTAGCAGCCAATCAAAAAAACTTTCACCCTTTCTTTTGAATTGGGAGGATTTTCAGGAAAGCGATGGTTTTAAGGCTAGAGTAAGACTCAAGCGAAACAGAGACGGCGAGAAGATAAATGGCTGCTATTTCCTCCTTGGGTTTCCTTATTTAGTAATTTTATTCAACCAGGGAAGAATATACATGAATTATGATGTTTGATAAAGCAATCACAAATAGTAAAAGTTAATTGGTAAGGTCGTTATATGAGTAGTTTCGAGACGTGGCGGAATAAGATCAATCTCGATTTCGTTAATCTTACACCAGTTGCTGAAAATGTTTGAGAAATAAACTACTATTTTGTCTGCTCCGCCAAGTTTGTTTGTTTGTTTTGTTTTGTTTTTTTTTTCCTCGGGGAATTGCACGCGTAACTTTTGCTATATCTATAACCTGAAACGAACTTTAAGGTTTTAAATATCTACACCTCAGTTGTCTGTCGAGTTCTAGTTCTTGAAATTGGTGTGGAAAGTACCAAAATGTTGTCGACCTTTTTGACCTTTTGTCTGAACAGAAATACCTAAAATTAATTTGTAGATTGAACAACAACATATCTTCTTACACCTTTCCCTCGTCAGTCGTTCGTCAGTCAACAACACTATCACAACGCCCCTCTGGATCGTTTCGTTCGTGGATAATTTCATGGATTTACGCTGTCGTTAGAACATTATTTACAATGGTTGTTACTTAAAGTACTTTTTTGGAAGGACGGGGACTCTGAGGAAAGTGGTATTTCTCGGGTCACATTTTCCAAAGCTATAATAAATAAATGGAACTACTTCGTTGCGTTTGGAGTTTTAGCGAACCACAACTACATGTGGAAAAATGTCAATAATACTCGTCTTAAAATAAGCAATAGTTATGATTATAGCCGTAATTAAAGTCTTTTTGCTATGATAATAATTAGTGTAAATAGTTACAATAGTAATCCTCCAGCACCACAGGATCATGGTTTGGTTTCGTTTCTAGTCGACGGAAGTAGTAAAATGAAGTAACGATGATAAGTAATGATAAACAAAATAATAAATTATGGTTGCTTTTAACTGTACATGTTTTAATGCAATGATTAGGATGAATATTGTTTACGGCAAAATCATCTTTACACTGCACTTGTAAACTGGTATAGATCTGTCGACTGGACTACTTGATCTTGATCCAGGATTGGCTGTTTGGCTTCATTAACTACGCTTTCATTTGTTTTACTCAAGAATGAGATTCTCGATAATGGATAAGTTAACATTCTCCGAAACTCAGCTCGGAATTTCTTTTTGAAGTATATTAGGAGCCAGGGGTTGACAACGCTGTTTGCATGTCCACACCAATAGCATAACAGCATGAAATAATATGGCAACGATTGCCTCACTCTGCTGTCAATGGCTAAAATCAAATGATACGCATGCGCTGGAAGCCAGCAAAGTGCAAAGGCAACAACGATAGCTATTGACATGTTTATCGCCTTACGCTTGGAAGCGTTGGCGCGTTTTGTGGCGCGATTTTTTATTTCAACTCCCGGTAGTTTATGTTTCCGCAGCGTGTAGCAAACATACCCATAGAGGATACAAATGGTAACTACGGGCAGTAAGTAGATGGTGACCACGATGTAAAGAAACACGCCTCTTAAGGCCGCTTGAATCTCGCCAAACTGTGAAAACTTGTACACTATCCTGGAGTTCTTTACTTTGATTATGACCAGCCATGGAGTCATCAGACACATTGAGGTAATCCAAATTGTGGGAATTAGGATCTTTTTGTTCCTAAAGCGAGGGAACTTTTGCATGGGAAGGACAATCCCGCAGAAGAAGTCAAAAGCCACGGCTGTTAGAGAAAAGACGGACGCCGTGATGGCCACGAAGAAAACAAACATGATGAACTTGGCAAGGAACTCACCAAATGTCCCATCGATCCACAGATGGTCCAAAATGATAAGTTCCATCGACTGAGGCATCACAACAGCTGTTACGAGCAGGTCGGCCACAGCGAGATTTACGTACATGAAGCTTGTTAATCTTCTGGTATCTGGTCTCTTGTGCAGAATGTAGATCACCAAAATGTTTCCCACTAAGGCCAATGAAATGATTGCAGTGTATAAGATGGCGAAGATCAGTTTAATACTTGATGGATACGAGAATAGCGTTGTGGTAGCTGAAACACGATGAAATCCGCGTCAAGACGTCATGCAAACGAAAAGACAAAACAAAAAAGCAACGTGAGAACTAAGCGTCTTGGGCTGAACTTAACACCGTGATCTCTGCTTGTGTGCGAACCTCGACTTAATGTGGTTTGACTACATTTGACCCCTGCGACAGGAACTCAACTACCTTCCCGCAACAGATGTGACAGAATATAAGCCTGTTTTCGTAAAACAGCCTGTGCCAATAAAGTCTTATGACTGTAGAACAACCCAATTGCTCCATTGGTTCAGAACCTACCGACCCTCCTCATTCCTGAGCGTTGGAACTACTGCT